TTTTTTTGTGTATAAATTGAATAAATTCTTGTACTGATTACAGAGACGACAGTATGTTGATATCTGGTACAGAAGATGGCGAATTGTGTTTATGGAGCATGAATAATTACAATTTACAATCTACTATTAAAGGTAAATATATTTTTTTCATCTTCAAGCTATCCTTTTAATTGTAAAAAAAAGTCAATGTTAAATAGTTATATGCACATGGACAAAAAATTGCAACAAGATACAAATTTTCTTAAGTCTTACATCTTTATTTATTTAATCATTTGTAGGCTTTAATTATAAAACGAAATAAGGATACTATAATTATTAATATCTGTTGATTGTTTGTTGTCTAAAGGTCATACATGCAGAGTAAACGCGATAACGTTCGATAAACAATGCAGCAGCATAATATCATGTGCAGAAGACAAAGTATTAAATATTATCGATGTTCGAACAAGTACACAGATATATTCCGTCAATTTAGAAAGCGAACCATTAACATTAACGTGGATGGGAACGTTTTTGCTGATAGGTGATAACGACGGAGATCTTAATGTATGGAATCATCAGGGAGCTGTATTCATTCCGCAAATACATTGTCATGATGGTACGTTATTATTATATTGCATATCACTATAGTATGGCAGATTTATTTAAAATAATCGGTTATTCATAGTAAACAGTTTTAATATATTAATAACTTATCTTATATTAACTATATTTTATTTCTTTTTATATTTTATAATCGAATTTATATGCAATAAATTACGTATTGACGGTTACAACATACATCTTTTCAGGACCGCTTTGCGCTTTAGCTGTAGCCGCTGATAATAATTTAATGATAACAGGCGGAAAAGACAGAAAAGTCATCGTATGGGAATGTCATACGCACTGACACAGTATTACAAATGCGTACTATCAATGTACAGGAAAGATTTTATGTAAATAGAATTTAGACCTAACACAATATTTTTATTACTTGTTTGTTATATAGAATAGGATACTAAAATCTGTACATAACATAAAATGGCACATTTAGAGAGTGATCCGGAAAAAAGTGTCAAAAGATTTAGAAGCATATAGTGCTTGTAAAAAGAAAATATCCGCAATAGTAATGCTATATACTCGAAAATTCTTCGATTCGTTTCAAGTTGCCCCCCGTATTAGATTCTTAACATGTATCATGAACATGTATTCTGAATTGCTGAAATATGTGTGGTTTATATCCGAGGAAAACAAAAGATTCCTCTTTAAATTATACATTTTATAACTTCTGGGATTTCTTCTTTTTTTTTTATGCATAAAATTATATTTGTTATACAAATATAAACTTATATATTGAATGTAAAAAAAAAATTAGTTGAATGTGTTAGATTTATAATATTCCTTTAATGGAAAATAAACTTTAACATTAATATTAAAATTTTGATGTAATTTATATAATATATATTGTATACATGGTGATATGTAATGTTACATTTCACTTTTTCTTAGTGGAATATTATTCTCGACTATACATCAGTCTTTCTACCTTGACAAAAAAATAAATAATTTCGTATTGTAATAAGCTATTGTAATATCATTGTATTTAATACAAAGTCATCAACTCGTAAGAGTTTATGTTGCAAAATGGGTAGTACTTAAAATGCGAGTACTGAATATTAAACATACACATTTTTATACACAGCATAAAAATTTGTACGTATATGTGTGTGCGTGTGTGCGCGCGCGCGCGCGTGCGTGCATACAGATTAATGTATATTTCACAGAATAAAAAATTAAAATAGATCAAGTTACATTTATACACATTTTGTATACGTGCTGTGTAAACACGTAAATTTTGACTGCAACATTCATAAAATGTACGCTAATTAAAATTTTAAAAGAATTAATTAAATTGACCATTTTATATTGTACAATATCAATATTATTCATAAAATTAATAGATGGATTTTGGACTCGTACAATATCTTATATTACGTTCACAAGAATCTCTCAAAGTGACTAGCGTGTATGCCAGAAACATGACAATAAATGCTATATAAAAATACTGAAGTAAAATGATTCATTATTATATTCCTATAGATAACAATGACTAGTATTGTATAAAACATTGCAAATCAAACAGGAACCTCGAACTTTTGTTTCTATATATGGTATTTTAACACTTTGTAGAATGTTCGTTACTGATTTATATTTACAAGATTCAAGAACGTTGTGCAGAATAGAATTTATGTCAAAATTTCGAGATAATCGAAGTAACATACATATGAAATCATCACAATGTATGAAAGTGTAACACGTTTAACAACTAAAAATATTTGTGGAAGCTTGTACTTTGGGAAGCTCTTGAACTTTCCTGTTTACTTTCTTTTTCTTATATCTATTTCTAGAATTACATTAACTCTGAAGAGTGCTATATCTACGTTGTTTATACATTTCAAGTATTACTTATTTTATATCGCATTAAGATAACTAATCAACAGTTACTTTCACAATCACAACTAAGTTGCATCCACGTGAGATTAACTTATAGTGTAATGTATATAATGATGTTTATGCTGAAATGTATTTCCAGATCTTATTTTGTGATGAAGAATTTGAAGATTCGATACGATACCAACGACGCATCACAACTGTTTTAATTGTTCATAAGTAATAAAAAATATAATATTCCACGGTCCCATTCTGAACCACGTCGGGATAAAACCTTTGTACAGGGCCAGAATACCTTCATTTTTAATCGTCTATGGGAAAAAAATTGTTTTTCTTAAAGATGGATGCTAGATGATATATATCAAATAAATAAAGCTTTATACCTGAACCAAACAATCCATACTGCCACTGTAAATGTATGACGAAGGCTTCGTGCCAACCATGTGTACTCTCCTTTGATTCATCAGTCGGGTCTAAAAGAAAGATATTTTTAAGGGAATAAATATTAACGTACGTTGCATAAATATAAAATAATCTACTTACACGAATTACGTCTATAGGCGTCGAAGCTACGGCACTCCCCATACTAGCTATAAAACTAGATCTAAAAAATATAATCACAATCAAGTACATTTACTCTGCAATATACTTAAAAATCATACTTAAAATAATTAAAAGAATTTACATTCAAAATATTTTTTAATTATAAATTTTCACGTATTGTAATTTTTTTTTTTTTTAAATAATATTCGCGTTGTTTTAAGATTTTTTAAACTGCAACGCCAAATTTTACATTATAGATCAAAATTAACCCTTATCCAGGCATTATAAAAAGTTAAGAATACATAATACCATGTCTGTACGATGGGTGTCAATATTCTTAGATGGAGCAAAAGTACATTTTCAAACATGAACAGCGAAATAAAAGCATAGGCAAAATGGGATTTTTTTACAGTAGAAAAATTAGCAAGGTATGCGGTGGACACGTAGTATTTTAGAAATTCCCAAAGCCCAAAATGTATAAATGCTAATCAAAAGATCTTTGCAAGGTAGTTTAACATGTATAATTATCTGGACGATTGTCTTAACGATTCTTGAACTTGAACACAGAGTGCTGAACACAGCTTCCGTGTCAAGCCTCTCTGGTCATCTCAAAATCCGTCTATCGCATGTGCCCATACGCGTGACAATGTCAAAGGACCTGGAAATAAAATTTCAATTTTAGGAGAGTTTTACTCCTTTCCTGCGATAACGTGTAACATATGGAATACTTGAAAATCGCGCACGTACTCTTTAAACCGCAGATAATAAAAATATAATAAAATTACATTGTCGGTTGTTTGAAAACAAAATTAATATAATTTTTCTATTATAAAGAAAGATATTTGATATTAACATACGTATTTCAATATTAAAACGTCTTGATGAATATATTGGTGCAAAATGCTAATAAATTCAGTTATTGTTCCGTTTCAAATGCATTTAATCACCTTGCTTAATGGATACCGGCACGTAAAAAAATTATTGAAAAATTAACATTTTTTAAAGTTTTTAAAAATATACGACATGATGATAAATAAATTAAAATGTTACATTTAGACGTATATGTATGCGCTATAAACATAAAGTATGTACGGCATATAAAACACACATCTACGTAAGCTTTACGAGTTCGTAACAACATTTCAAGCGATATGATTAATAATAATCCATAAAAAAAAATGTACGTGTCAAAATGTACGTGTTAAAATATACATATGTTAGAATATAGATAAGAGAAGAGTTAAATCGAAAGAAAAATCATGTTTATCTTTAAGATAAATAATTTCTAAATATATCGACAAAAATCCACACTCAATAAAATATAAAAGATTAATACATACTCTGTGGGACGCATGTTTCAGAATAAAAATTAAATATTAAACGATTTTTTACATAAAACTCCCAACATTTTTTCTTTCCAAGTGCCTTCTTCGTCCCAATACTTTTTTATATTCTTTATATTTTTAAATATTTGACATAATACGAGCATTTTAGATACAGATTTTAAAAAATGCTATATAATAGTATAGATATATATATGGATTTTATGAAAAACTTTCGTGCACTTTAATATGCACGGTATCATCTTATTAAATAGTTATGTGTAACTAATCAGAGAGGCATCTTTATACATATACATAAAAACAGTTCACACGTCGTAAGCTTGTTTCAAGTTTCAGATATAAACGTGTGTATATATCTTTTGTATTGTCACGTGACAATACTTTATTATGAAAGAATCAAGTGTGAGCTCTCCGGATAAGGGTTAATCAATAACTGACTTATAATATAATAAATAACATGTATATTAATAAATTTTGATATGTAACTTAAATAATATGTTGATAATGAATTTTTCATTTCTGTAAATACCTTTTTTTGTTAACAAGCATATGGTTTAGCATAGCTGTCAGAAATTTAAAAATAGTCCACCATGATAATCAGTAAACGTTTTTTTAAATATTTTAGGTAGATGTTATATCCACACTTAGTGAAGAAAAAAACTTACGCAAAATGATTACTAACGCTATTTCCCAACACATTCATAAATTTACTCTTGGTATAGTCATATATAGGTAGTTCTACAGCCGCGATAACGGCTGCTCGTTGAGCAGTTGGTCCAACACCCTGCGTAGAAAAATCAGTCTTTATATAAGCACAGAAAATTCACGTATTAATAAAATCGGTCATTTTGGTAAAAATACAATCTAGATAATAATCCTTCGAGTCAAAACATTCTTTCATTATAAACTTTGCAATAAAAGTAACTTTTAGCATCAATTTAATTCCAACGTGATCTTGTATGTTTCCAGTATTTTTAACATTCGATTTTTATCTCACGATGCATGACTTTTAAAAATGCGTGCTATATGCACGCGTATGTGAGTCCAAGTGATAATTTATTAAAAAATTATTTCTCGTACCCTCCAAAGCCCGCGAACACCTTCATGTCTATATACATCTTGGAAACAAGTAAATAGCGATGCATTTGTTTCATTGCCAGTTACTTGCATACGAACTTTTACTACGTCAGTAGGATTGGCAATTGCGCTTGACATAGCTCCAGCTAACGCTGCGCAAACAATGTTTATTGTGACTAAATCCCCCGTTGCCCATGTATCTATCGCAACTTTTTTGAGTGAATAGTAAGTTCCAAACTTTATAGTTCCGTATGTCGCTTGTCGTAAGATGGCAGAACTAATCCTAATAGAAAAAAACATTAACAAAAAAATCAACCTCATTAAAAATCTTGTATATGTTTAAGATTGAAAAAAAACCTCTATCTTCAATGATGATAATAATATTAAAATCTTGTAACTTTTTAATAGCACAAAAATTCTTTTTGATATTTCTCTATATCTGAGAATGAGATATTTTGACTATATCATATTTAAAATAATGTACATCATCATACACGGACACGTCTAAATAAAATAAGACAGACTTTAATGTCAAACAATATATATTATTTCTCATGTTACAATACTTACCCAGAATATAAACCTTTCATTCCTTCTTGTTTGGATATTTGTAATAAAGCGTCAATCATGCCAGAATATCTTAAACGTGCAAGCTTTTGATCATATTTCTGGCCTTGTACTTGTAATCGTGTTTTTGTCGTATCTAAGGGAAAAGTACCTAGAATAAAAGAAATGAAAGTTACTTTTTATTATAGTCCGTGTATGTACATACTGTGGACACGTTAAAATATATTATTTCAAACAATAATACAAGGATTATTATTTTTTATTATCTCCTTACACAGCTCTGCAACGATCGAAGCTAAACCTCCGTACACGAAAGGTCTCCAATCTTTCCACGTTCTCTCTCCCATCACCAGCTTTGATCTATTAAAAGGTAAAAACAGCGATGTAAATTAGATAGACTTACTAATAAAAAACATAAATCGGTAAGTTATAAAAAAATTAATCGACATAAAAGTTAAACATATTTTACTTTTCTTCCTTTTTTCTCACATATATTTTAATATATATGTTTAAATAAATTCTTTACGAAGACAGTGACATGTTAATACATCCCGGGGAGGGTTTTATATTTTTTAGGTTGGTTTTAATTTTTTATACACACTGCAAAATATATATATATATATCTATTTTATATCTATATATATCACCTCGACTTGTGGAAACGTCACAGTGCATATGACGTGATATGACGTTACATTAAAAAATATATTTGACGGTATGTACGACACGTCGATATCCGATATCCACTATCCACTGAGAAAACGTGTTTTTCAATGGAAATCCTCCATTACACACTGTGTGTTCCATAATCCATAGGGTCAGCTGAGTAGAGTTTTGGAACACACAACACAGTAGTGCACAGCACACTGTGCACGACTGCACGTCTATCACGTAGATTAGATGTTTTTTCAAGTATACGTCGTCAACCGTTAATATTCTCTAAACGTATCCCGTAATCTGTCAGTACGTTTCAAGTAAAGGTCAAGAATTATGGCAGCCGGTCCAATCGCGGAACGTAACCAAGGTATGTCCTGAGCTTTTTAGGTTAAATAATAAGAGATTGAGGTTATTCTCAAATATATCTTACATTATTGACTACACAGAGGATTTCTGACTCTGACACATAAATATGCATATTCGTACACTTGATTTATTAATTTTTGTATTTATCATCTATATCTTTGCTATGAAAATTTATAGATGCAACAATATACGTTGGAGGCTTGGATGACAAAGTTACGGAATCCCTCATGTGGGAACTATTTGTTCAATCAGGACCTGTTGGTAAGTGTGTTGTTCATTTTTACATACTATATAAAAAGAAAAAAGATATAATATAGATATAATATAGATTTGATTATATACACATTTACTACATACGTTTGAAAATAATATTACGCATCAAGATTTAAAATCACGAATATATTTGTCATGTGTATGAAACACAAACTGTCGGTTGTATCTAAACGTGAAAATGGATCGTTGTACGATAGCAAAGTTTCCTGAAATAAAAGATACAAAAAAGTGTATATACATATATAAAATATATTTTCAGTTAACGTACACATGCCAAAAGATAGAGTAACTCAAATGCATCAAGGATATGGTTTTGTTGAATTTATGGGAGAAGAAGATGCTGATTATGCTATTAAAATCATGAATATGATCAAACTTTATGGCAAACCTATTCGCGTAAACAAGGCTAGCGCGCACCAAAAGAACTTGGATGTCGGAGCAAATATATTTATAGGAAATCTTGATCCAGAAGTAGATGAAAAATTATTGTACGATACATTCAGTGCATTTGGCGTGATTTTGCAAACGCCAAAGGTATGTATACGTTATTTTCGTACACGCGATTATTTTTGAACTATTTTCGCGACTATTTTCTCTTCAACTTGTAAATAATTTTTACGTCGCAGATAATGAGGGACCCCGAGACAGGTAACTCGAAAGGCTTTGCTTTCATTAATTTTGCCTCTTTCGATGCCTCGGATGCCAGCATCGAAGCGATGAACGGTCAATATCTGTGTAATCGGCCAATCTCCGTGTCTTATGCTTTTAAACGCGACGCCAAAGGCGAGAGACACGGCAGTGCCGCTGAAAGACTTTTGGCCGCGCAGAATCCTCTGAGTCAAGCGGACAGGCCGCATCAGTTGTTCGCGGATGCGCCACCTCTGGCGCCGCCACCGATGCCAACGTCGAACGCGACGGCCCACCAACCTGCCCATCATCCTCAGCATCACGTGATGCATCATGGAATGGTCGTGCCACCACCGCCGCCGCCGTCTACTCCTGGACCGCCGATGGGTCATCCGCCTCCACCGCCCGTACCACCGCCACCGTCCGGTGGATTCCCACCGGCGAACATCCCTCCACCCCCTCTCCCTCCGATGTCGATGGCAGCGCATCCTCCACTACCACCCGGTATGCCACCCCCGTTGCCGCCTATGCCCGTGCCGAGTTCCCAGGCGCAGTCAGCCGCCTCCAGGATGATGGCACCACCGCCGCCACATTGGGCCGTCGGGGCACCGCCGCAGGGACAATTCCCACCGCCTCCGCCCCCATCTTCCAGCGGTGGTCCTCCGCAATTTGGACAGTATCAGCCGTCGCCGCCGCGACCTCCTCCGGCTTGGCGGCATCCTCCACCACCGCCTGTTTCGCAGGGTGGCCCCCCGCCCCCGCCGCCACCTCAGTTCCGACCCCCCTTCCCGCCAAGAGGACCGCCGCCGCCGCCGCCACCACACGACGGCAATCAATATTAATTAATATTCGTCAAGTGATATTTATCGTCACCGTGCGTGACACACGGAGATAACGATACACGTTTGTTTTATAATTATCGACAAATATATCCGTGATGGAGACATCTACGATACCGTGGTAGAAAAATCGACATTTTTGTAAAACTCATTTCTTCACCGTGTTCCCAAGTAAACTTGGTCATATTGTAGCGACTAAAGCTTACACGTAGTAAGAAGATTAAGGTGTGTGTGTGTGTGTGTGTGTGTGTGTGTGTGTGTGACTAACTCTATAACTGAGGTATTATTAATCAGCCTTAATCAGTAACTCTGCAATGCTGATGGGCATTAACGAGCACGTTATTTAAGGCACATAATGAGGGAACGATGTGCCACGTATAACCACGCGTTTCGCTTTATCGCCGTATCGATCGATTTTAGCGCCTGAACAATGTACATACATACCGCGTTCGTTCTATCGATTATTTCGTGCTTGACCCCAGGTCCAGTCTACGCGATAACGTTAGTCGAACGTGTCAACTCTACTGTCCAACACCCTTTAAAATTGCTACGTTTTGCGTGATTTGTAAAAGAAGATTGAACCAAGTGATCGTTTTTTTAAGGACGACGTTCGATGAAACGTTCTTGTGTACGATATATATCGCGACATTACATCGCAATGTTACGTTAACAAGTAAAAAAGCACGTCGTGGCGAGAGAGAGTCTAACTCGTGTGTCCTGAATAATGTCCAATACGTTGAATCGTGAATTATTTTAGACTACCACGCGCGACATCGATCTGTTGTCGCCACATCCGCCACACAGCTTGCCCAACACACGTGGAACGCTGGGACGGTTTTTGTTACGGAAACACGACGAGCAGTCGTCGATAGAGCGATAAATTTTAAATCATCTTGCATGCTACGGCAGGGAAAAGTGTGCGAATGTCGCGGAGTAGATATGGCACGAGTCTTTCATGACTGTAGAAACGACTTGGAACTTGAAAACGATAGCAACGATAACGCCGGCACAGCCATATCAGAGTATTGTCTGGGTCGCAGCTGTACGTTGCAGCGTCCCTCATCCGTGGTACAACGGCGACCACCACGTCACCTCTTGGAAGCCTGGTACTTTTGGCTAGGCATTGCCTTACTCGTTGTTTCTGTCATTTTTTCGGTGAGCATATATTTGTAAAAATGCATCGAGCTTCGTGCAGGGTGTCGGGTATCAATACCAGACTTTTCAAGTAGAAAATTCGAAAAAATAAAAAAAGTTTTTCTTTATTATCGCCATCTTTTTATTTTCGTATTGCGGCAAAACGATACGAGACGTTCTAAATCTTTCGTCGCTTGTTGTTTAGAGCGCGTCGTGCTAAAAAAAATTTCTACGTCGTTTTGAAATTTAAATGAGCGATATACGCTGCAATCACAGACGCGCACGACTGACCCAGACATGATATTTAAGGTATTCTATTCGGTGGACGTAACGCACTTGTCAACGATAATAGACGAAACGATCGGGAATTGAATCAGCCAAGAGCCAATCAAAACCAGATATCTATAAGTATAATTCCCTCGACGTTTTCGTCGCAGAGAAAGATGCTGGTACGCGGTGCGCAGCCGAGCTTCACACACATGAGTAAGAAGAGCAACGTCTTTTTCGTTTACGTTCATCGCTAGTTTATAATTAATCTGCATGTCATATATATATATATATATATATATATATATCTGAAAAGACTAATCTAATATCTGGTCAGTTGACCCTGGGCAAAGCTTAAATTAAGGGTAAATCTAATAAACAAAATCAACAAGCTGAGTAAGCCACTAAATATAATCATATCCAAGTACAATATATGCCTTGCATAATTAGTCGATCGGTCATCTATTCGCCCTGCTAAGGTCATCTTCTTTTACGGATCGATGGAAATTATATATATATAATTATATATATATATATATAGTACGCGTGACACCGATCTCTCGCGCATTTCTACGCGCTAATAAAACGTGGAAAATATTGATTTATATTTCAGCACCAGTCGTTGCGTAATAACAAAACGTCGCTTTGCCGATTCGTCGCTGCTCGCTGCTCGTCGCTCGTCGCAAGATCGAGACTCGAGACCGAAGAGACGTGACGTTCGAACGCTCCAAACTTGTCACGGCACGCAGCACGTGTCCTCTTCTCGTTTACCGGCGAAACGCGTAGTCGTGCCTATCGCCCTTCACTTTGCGCTTATATTGCTATGTATTATAATAACTGCTAGTAGATATATAGTTTGAACGTACAACGAACACAACTTCCGATAGATGCGAGAAGGACGTTTATCTTTCGAAAGATGAATCTTTGATATATATAATTATAATTCACGTAATATCAACTTTGAGAGAGATTTAGAGTTATCAAGGACATGGAGTTGATCGAACAACAGTTAATCTTAAAAGATTATAAACACTTACAGTATTTCAATGTTAATGCAAATGTAATTAAACGATCGATATATCTATTCTTTCGAGTAACGTTTCACCTGGGTCATGGTGCGGCATTGCGACACGCGACACGCGACACGGCGATAATCAGGATAACGACGCAGCCACGCTCTTTAATTCTCGCGCGTCGACGGGCACAATATAAGGCACAAGTCTCGTCGATGAGACTAACAATACGTGAGGAATGAGGAGGATGCTCGTGTCTCCGGCATCTAAACAACAATGGAAATGGAGAGAGGGTGCAGAAGCTAATTAAAAACGGTCACGCCGCGCCGGCGATGAGGTATCCTTCGCCTCCCTCGCGATTCGCGAGTACGAACGCGCGCGTGCGCGCGCGAATGGACCTCTGCTCTTCAACTTTCACGTTTCTTCGTTTTTTTTTTTCCAAATAAAATAAAGATATCCGTTTGTACTCGAACGATATAAGAAACATACAAGTAAGTATGTCATTTCTAAAGCGATCGGGAATGTAAATCGATGTGTATAATAAATAAATGAAATATGAGATCGTTCCCACGTTGCATTTTTTTTTTTGGCGATTCTTTGCGTAAGTAGTCTTAAATTCGAACATGTATGTACACAATGTTCTTCACTGCATTAGCAAAACATTGTTAAAATCGAAACAAACGGAGGCTTTTATACTTAACGATATTATACAATCTCTCTGATAGATTTAGCAGCTGAGATGTACCACATAAAATTAAGAGAGAATGACTCTTGTACGTGAAAGAAATGCTTGTGCCATGCTCCCCCGTAAATCTTTTTATCGCGCGTGTACACTCGATGACTCGATGACTCGATCCATTTGTGCAGCAAGAAGCGATCGGAGAACAGAGACCTCGTTAAACTGTAACCAAGTGTCATATTCCGATAACCCAACTCGGCTCTTAAGGAGGGTCCACATTATCGAGCAGAACCGCGAGCCGAACTTCGCCGCGAACCGACATTGTCGAGCCGACAAAGTTCGGCTCGATAATGTGGACGCATGATCGGTTCGCGGCAAAGTTCGGCTCGCGGTTTTGCTCGATAATGTGGACCCTCCTTTACAGTCTCTCGACTCTCGACGCGCGACGTCTCGGACTCGGACGACGCGACGTCTCGACGGAGGTCGATAAAGAAATGTGCAGACGCAAAGAGCGGGAGCTCTGGTTAATGTTGCACGCACAGGAAGCCAAGCGAGGACGTTTACTCTCGTCTGCCGTACTTGAAAAGTTAATGACTACGGACTGCGCGCTACGATTGAGTCATTGAGTGCCGGTCAAACGGAAAACGTTGCACGCCGCGTCGCGCTGCTCTCAACCGTGTCTCAACGAAATCGCTCGTCGCTCAATCGCTGCACGGTCCACCTTGTTTTCCACGATACGATACACGTATGTACACGTGTCTGTCACGCGATTGTCAACCCATCTACGTAATACGTATATGGTGGTATACCGTTGAGAGAGAGAGAGAGAGAGAGAGAGAGAAACAAGGAAGAAAAAAAAGAATCGAAGAATCTGAATTACGACATTTTATTATTACTCTGCTCCGCAAGATCATGTCCCTTGATCCTACCAATCTCGATTTTGGAATATTTTATTTCGGTCTTTTACACAATTTTTGTCTTTAAAACGTAGAGCGTACATATATTATAACTTATTATTTAACACTGTATTGTTTTGACGATGTTTTGGATTTTTAACGATGGGTAATAAATGAGAAAAATATTTTTCGAGAGAGAAATGATCAACATCAGAATCGGGTCTTGGATTTTTCCGCTATCGAGGCCTCCCGCCTCCGACTCCAGGTCGTCGTCGTCGGCGCCGTCTGAAGGAGAGCATCGTGATGAGTCGTCTCGCCCTCTCGCCATTCGGCGCCGTCAAAGTCTCTCGTTATAAGTATGTCCGATCCGAATCGTCGTCGGCGCGGGCGCGGGCGCGGACGCGGGACGAGAGTATCGTCTCTCGAAATATATAAAAGCGTATATGTGGGGACAAGTTGGCACGCGACGCGACGCGACGTGTCGTTCTTCCAATAAATCGACCAACTTTAGGAGCGCCGAACGCGGGGACTCGCGGCCACTGAGGCCACTGGCGCGAAAAAAGGGGATTCGCGGCAAAGAGCAAAGGCGCGAAGCGAGAATAATGTGCTTCGCGACAACCGGAACGACAGGGCCGACCGGGCCGACGGGACGCGCGGCCACGTTTACTAACGTCGTCGATGACGGAATTAAAATAGATACAGGAGTAACGCGTAACGCGTATCGAGGAGCCGGCCACGGCGCGACGCTCTTTTAGTGGGAGGCGCTAAAATTAGAGGTGCCCACGCGCGAGTATAAGCCTGGCCGGCCAGGCGACGAAACAGGCGCGTTTCGTCGCGGGTACAGCTTCCTGCGTTTCCTCCTTAGCGAACGCGCGAACACACTTCCAAATAGTCCTTTCAACCGATAAGACGTATAGACGCCGCGATCCGCTTCGGCGCGGCACGAGACGCGAGGGCGCGAGAGCCTGAGCCTGAGAATCGCGAGAGACGGCGACAATCGTGATATATGTATATATAGTGATTATGGCTCTACCACGTTCTATTAGCCGGCAAGCGATAAACGACGATTTCGTGATCCGATAAACGTGTAAACACGCCTCGGAGAGTCGGAGACCTTGCCGACCTTGCCGACCTTGGCAAGCGGACTAGAAGAGATGCCCACTCGTCGATCGATAATCGGTCGATCGTTAGCCATCAGATACCTCCTCGTGGGATGCATCGTGTCGTTGTCGACGAGTCTCGCGCAAGTCGAAGGTAAGCGAGCCACTTTTGTCACTTGTCACCGCGGCTACTGCACTCTGCAAGTTACAGTGCACACAGTGGTCACTGGTCACTCTCTACGTAGCGCAAAGAGGCGCTCGTTAATGACGAACAGCAAGTGCCATTAATTAACATCATTTCTTCCATGTGGTAGTGCGGTGCGTAGTGAGTAGTGAGCACTGCCCGCACTGGAGCAGTACAGTGCGAGCGCGTTCGACTTATGTATGTATATACTTAATTAATCCGTTCCAACAACTCGGTAATGAATAAAACTGTACCGTAGAGGACAACTGGAGCGTACGTGACATCGTGCTCATACGTTCCTCCTCAAGACCAAGTTTTATCGTTAATTAAGCTTTCAAAACGGCGTCTTATTCTTTATAACGTACCCAGTAAACACTATTATAAACACCATGTAACGTACGTAACGTACAGCTACAGGTTAGTTGGAATTTCCTACTCAACAATATAAATGCAATATACCACATGTGTAGGAACGTACACCTAACCTGCTGTACCTGTACGTTACATGGTGTTTGCTGGGTAGCAAGTAGCAATGTATCTTTACCAAACTTTATGAAATTCATAAATTATTGCGAATAGATATGCATTTGTCGACTTGCATTTGTAACTATAATACAATATTTTGCAATATAATTTAGACGCCCCCCCCCCTCTCTCTCTCTCTCTCTCTTTAATTGACTGTTGCACAAAATTATATTTTATAGGCAGGAAGTGCGTGTGTACGAGCAAGGCCTGCAAAGAAGCTGGCGTAGATACTTGTAGAACGAGATTCTTCTGTTACACCGAACTTATCGTGACAACGGGACGAGAAATCGGTGAAAGTACGACCACAAGAGGATGTACGGAGTACGTGTATCAATAACGTAAATCTAAAATCACTTTTTGATATTTAACGAAACTTGAGTATTTAACGAAGCATAAGTAAATATCAATTTTATAATATTCAAGTATTTGGGTGAGATTTTTTTCCTATATTAAATCAAATTTACGAAAAGATCAACAATAGGCGCGATAGCTATAACGGCACTCGAGAATCTTCCATCTTTCTATGTATTTTAACATGAGAGGAATGTAAAACCCTTAACAAAAATATATATATATATTTTTTTTTTATCTTATGCGTCGATTAAAGTCAACCAGTCGGGAGACAAGATTTTATGTCTTTTCAAAAACAGGATTTAATTTGTCGTACAAGTCTTGTGTGTAAGTTTGATCAACACTGTAATATAAATTCAGGAATGTGTCATGGCGCGCGAATAACCTTGACGAGGTAATCGAGCGAAAAGGTTTCCGCGATTTTTATTAAATGCCTCATTAATAACACTCTCGTGATCACCTTAAAAGTGGCAGTTACGACACGTTACAAGGATTCGTCCTACGAAATCCGGATATTATGTTAATAGGATTGTTTTCTGGTATACATTTTCTTCTCGCACAAGTTTTTGCAAAAGGTTTTGCCACGTTGTCCACGTCGAAATACGACAAAAGTTGAAATCTTTCGATTTAAATCGCTGCAAGACGATAAGAATCTCGCGCGCGCGATGTATAAATATTGAAACTTTCGACTCTCTCTAAATTCTCCAATGACGTTCCTCTTTACGAGGAAAATATAAATACGTGATGGTTGATTCAGCCCACTCGTGCACGCTCCATCAGATCATCAGATGTTGCAACTCTCGAGAGGTCAATGGTCATAACACTGCAAAAGTTGTATTACCTCTCGTGTGCGATAGTTCGATGACAGTGTTATAGGCACCGTGCAATGTAAGCACCGCCGAAGATCGTTCGATCGTTAGCTATATCGGCAACGCGGCGAGGCGGGCGGGTTCACGGAACTTAATCACGTAATGTTTGCAACATTATCCGTAGGGGTGCCACGCCATTGTTGTGCGAAACAAAGTCCTGGGTCACAAAGTCGCGGTCGGTCAACGCCGTGGAACTGTCGTCGGCGAGTCCCAGGATTCTCGTGCCCTGGCCCAGATTGAAATGTTGCAACAGCCACGACTACTGCAACGCTGATGCTGATGCTGACGACGACGACGACGACGACGACGACGACGACGACGAGAACGCGAGCATCACATGGACGCGCGAGAGAAAGATTCAGATGGATCAGACGCGTTCTACGGTGGATCGCGGGGTATTGATGGGCGATCTAACGTCAACGAATCGTGATACGATGCTAACGTTGCGGCCTGATCGAAAGTATGAAGATTCGACAGAATCGGCTGACCGACTTCTCCGGAATCGCATCAAGGCGCTACATATTGCCGCTCTCGTCCTTGCTATCGCAGCTCTCATATCCGTCCTGGCATCTTGCTACGTGGTTACAAGGTTCGCATATCTCTTTTCTCACATCTGTATCCATATATGTAAATTAATCCTTTATGTACTGCAAATCAATTGACTGCAAAAGGTCTGATCTCGAAGAGAAATCAATACCGATCAAGTATCTTGTTACATTTTCTTAAACTTATATTTTAATATTTTAATATAATAAAAAATTCCAAGACCCATATTCTGAACGCACTTTTATCGATAAAAGAACGTTCAGAATATGGGTCTAAATAAAACATGTACGTTAGAATTGAAAAATTAAATAAAATTATATATATGTGTGTGTGTGTGTGTGTGTGTGTGTGTATATATATATATACATATATATATATATATATATATAAAATAAAAGATAAGAAAAGATTTTTATAGCAATGTAAAACAATCAAGTAAAAGTTATCATCGAGATATGTGTGTGAGATACTGTGCGAAGAGACATTGTGGCACGTCGCACGGCCGTTAGTTTTATGCTGTCTGCACGTAACATTGGATATAATTAACGATCGGCGAAGATAAATCTATTCGAAAGCAGTCTTGGCAGAGCGCAGGGACCACCCTGTGTAACAGATCATGAGCATTGAGGCCATACAGCGAGTGTACATTGCACGTTTATAGTAGCCACCTACACGGCATAAGACTCGTTTTTCTCACGTGGAACAGCAACGTAGTTTGCGATTCCTCGATAGCAAATCCGCAATACACCTTCTATTAATATTCTATTAATATTGTTACGTCATGTATATCATTCGTGTATATCACGCTTGACACGCACGCACGCACGCACGCATGCGTGCAATATTATAAATAACATTTAGTAGTTTGTCTCAAGAGGGACGTGTGGACCGTCGATGCTCCTCCACAATCTACGTGACAGCATTCCTGCATTTTAGGCTCGTTCCTTATTATCTATCCAGTTTTCTTTTCTTCGGTTATACGACCGCACTTTTTCGGGGTAGTTTGTCGCGATGCACTAAAAGCCGCCTTCTTATCAGTCTACCTCTCGACAAGAGGCCGGCGATCCCCACAGGCTTCAGTCCTGAAAACCGTAGATAGCACACGGCTTGTGGGGGCTTCTCACACAGACCTGCCCTCTAATCTTCCTTCTCCGAATGGTTAAGTGGGTTTTCGAGTTCGGGAATGTCTCGGTTCGACCCACCTCATATACACCTTAGTAAACGCGCGCCATCGTTAGTCTCTTTATCTTTTTACCTTGGAATAGATGGCATCGCGCGCCATTTCTTCGCGTTTTATACCGATTAAAAGTGACCGCAAGGATTCTTAGCTATTCCATTCCATGAAAGAACGCTTTATCGCACGCGCTTTTCAACTGTCGAAAGTAAACTGTGGCGCTTTTCGCAACAATCCGACAATAAAATAAAAAGGTAAAAAATATACATATGTATATACATAATCCTTTTGCCAATGTAAGAATATGACAGAGTTGAGAGTATTGATAACTTTATATTAATATGTGTCAATAATTTGTTCTCATGTATTGGGACATTCAAAAATGTAAATTTAAACCATCCAAAATTCCAGCATCATCGTTTTCCGGCCAATATTAGAGACGTCGGCGTCGACCCTAGCGATAATTCAATCGAGTGGCACTCTCAGTGGAGTTGTTAAATACGTGATTCCTTTAACCATTGTATCGTTAACGATCGTTTCAGTTCCACGCGTTTTGTGTCGAAGGATTGTTTTCAATCACATCGTTTACGGTTTCTAATCCTCGTCAGGTAGATCCGAATAAACCTGTATAGGGACAGGGAGTCGAGACAAGGTCCGGTTTTAAGTGGACCGGAATCTCTGGCATCATGCGTGTCGAATCAATTTTTGATCGTGATTTATACACAGGAAGCTCGACGAGTTACTTAAGGGTACCGTGACGAAATAGTTTTCAACTGTAATTTAAATATACA